CTATTAACTACTATAATGTAGCTAGATAGATGAATAAATAGAAAAATAGGTAAACAAAGATAAAAGAGGTAGAAAGTTAGATAAAATATATATATTGAGAGAGAGAGAGAGAGAGAGAGAGAGAGAGAGAGAGAGAGAGAGAGAGAGAGAGAGAGAGAGAGAGAGAGAGAGAAATATAGATAAATAGATAGATAGATAGACAGAAATATAGATAGACAAAGAAAGATAGATAGACACCTAAACATTAAGTAGCATACAACGTTTGGCAAACTATCACAATATCACAGGGGCGATGAAAACAACCCCAACGATTGCACTAGAAATACTGCTACCTCCGTTGGAAACATTTATACAAGGAGAAGAGATGAAAAATTCTTTGGCTCCGGAAACAAACAAACTGGATGGGAACTAAACGATTCGAGCGTACAACCATAATTAATAAAATCAGACACCCATTCTTAGAAATGGGGACAGAGAAACACTATACCACTCGATGTCTCAACATACTGTAAAGAGAAGAAAAATTCAAAGGAACAGATATAATGGTATGGTATATAGATGGCTCCAAAGCACATGAAGGAACCGGATCAGGCGTTTTTTGTGTGCAAGCTCAAAACATGACCAGTCAAACTCATTAGGCATGTTCGTCTTGGTCTTTGAAGCTCAAATATATACGATCAATGATTTTACCTCAGATAATTCCAAGAAATGAAAACAGCCATTAAACATGGTATATAGATGGCTCCAAAGCTCATGAAGGAATCGGATGAGGTGTTTTGTGTATAAGCTCGAAATATGGCCAATCAAACTCATTAGGCAATGAATAGGCAGACAATTAGTCAGTGAATCTAAAATCTCCAAAACCTCCGGAAACACAATAGATATCTTGGGTACCAGGACACAAAAAAGAATTGCTGGTAACAAAAAGCAGACCCACTGACTAGAGGAGGATCTGCAAGACGACATATAGGCCCTACCTATTTTTCAGATAACAAAAACAAACACAGAATCCTCTATCACAGAATATATCCAACAAAGACGGGCAAAAGAGAAGCGGATAAACTCCAGAGATGCTAGACACAGTTAGGTTGAGTTAAAACAACCCTCACCAGACTGGTATACTCAGCACTACAGTTAGCGAGAGCTAAACTCAGAGGAGTGATAGGACTATTAACCGATCACTGACAACTGAGAAAACATCTGCACAACAATTCAATGAGGAACCCTTTTGTAGATTATTCAATGAGGAGGGAGAAACAGCCATCCATATCTTCGAATGTGAAGCAACAGCTTAATGGAGACATAACCTGGGATATAAAGAAAACCCAGGGAATGGAAATGCAGCAACGACAGTCAATGACCTTGTACTTCTTAGAAGAAGGATCGAGTCGATTGCGTTGAACTTAGGAATTAGGAAAATAGAATTGGCCAGAAGGCAGTCATGCCGTTTGGAGTCCCATCCTTGCTCACTCCAGGGATAGAACAATAGGTATGGAATCACAATGAGAACAAAACCTAAATTACCTTTGGACTGCTTTGACGATATGCACAACAATGTGTCGAGGATCTGGCGGTTCTCTTTCTAAAGAATGGAAAACTCATGCTATTTCTTCTGCAAATTCACTAGTTTTCGTGGTCCGCTTGACCAATTAATATCTTTCAATTAATTAAGGTTTTTAGTTGAGATAGAAACGTGGGGTTGAGATGGGAAGTCAGTGTCCGAGTGAATCGCGGTCACGATAGCTCACGTGGTAGAGCAGCGGAGTATCTAGCCGAAGATCGTGTGTTCGAATCCCGCTCGTGCCACTGACTTGTTTATCTCAACTAAAAACCTTAATTAATTGAAAGCTATTTCTTCTGCTTTAGGTTTGTTAAATCTACACATATCTATCGATACACTACCAAAAAAACCCAAGTTCAACTTTCGTCTTGCATTGTTTCAGCTGCAGTTCTGTATGCTTCAGCAGGGCTTATAGCCGAAATGCAATCAAGGGCTATCAAAACTGCGCCCTCTAGTTTTTTAATTTCTGGGCGTCCTGAATGCACCACCACAGCATTGGAGGAGTCTACAAAATATAATTGAACGTATGACGGAAGATAATTCTCACGAGGCAACAAATCCGATGTCTCTCTCGGAAATTGTTTCCTTGCTGTAGAATGAGCAACCGCTCATTGGAGACAAAATCAGACAAGAATGAGACCAAGAAAATCCAGGGATATGAATAATGACAACAACAGTCAATGAACTAGTACTCCTTAAAAGAGAGAACAAAAAACACCACTTCTCCTCATCAAAACAAAAAAAAAACAAAACAAATATTTTACGGTTAATAATCTATTATTACTATAAATTAAAAGATAAGTTTTTCTTAACAAAAAATGAAATGTTTGATCTGATCAAAATGCTCTGTTTTAATGAGAATCCAGAAAGTTTTTTTTTGTGTTAAACAGCGAAAACGTTGCAATTTAGTCATTTGTCAACAATAACAACGTTGATTACTGATTGGGATGGCACTTTCGCGACCTTACTAAAAATTTCATTGTCACTGGGCGATGCATTTGGAAAAACCATTTCAAACGGGACATTTCATGTATTAACCAATTGTTTTCAAATTTAAATAAGTAAACAATTTATTGCGCCTTCTTATCTGTTTTACAACACCGAGAAAGCGTAAACAAAGCGCTGAAAACAGCCAAACATCATTAGGAGAACGGGCATACTTTTTGCATTTAATTCCTTTTCAATTGTTTGTTTTTGATCTACCTTTATTTTCCGCTGATTACAAAAGGAAGTGTTTAATTTCTGTTCAATTATAGAAAGTCCCAGTTTTGACTTTTATATTTAAACTTAAAAACACTCAAAGGCCAAAAAGCCCGGACACCCTTATTTTGTAGAGATTATAAATGATCGGGTGAGTGTGGAGTTCAATCCTTTTTAAAAAGGACCTTTATTTTGTTGTTTATTTCAAACTATAAGTATTTTTAGCGTTATATTGATTAATTAACTAATATAACTATAATAAATAATTACAGTTAATTAAGGTTTTTAGTTGAGATAAAAAAGTCAATGGCACGAGCAGGATTCGAACCCAGGATCTTCGGCTTGATATGCCGCTGCTCTACCACTTGAGCTATCGTGACCTCGATCCACTCGGACACTAACTTCCCATCTCAACCTCACCTTTTGAATTTCCGTGTCCGAGTGGATCGAGGTTACGATAGCTCAAGTGGTAGAGCAGCGGCGTATCAAGCCGAAGATCGTGGGTTCGAATCCCGCTCGTGCCATTGACTTTTTTATCTCAACTAAAAACCTTAATTAATTGTAATATACTAATTGGTCAAGCGGACCACAAAATTAGTGAATATAATAATTAATAATATATATAAATATATATATAACTTTAGTTAATTAATTTACATACATTATTTTAATGTACACTAAATTAAACGCGATTCATGAGTTTTAATAAAAATCATTTAATTATTTTGTTTGGAAAGGAAATTTACAAAAATATCAGAAAATCATTTAATGATAGATTAAAATTGAACTAACAATTTATTACCAAGTTTAGCTATTAATAATGCGTATTACCTCCTCTGGCCTCGCGGAGGGCCTTAAGTCTTTCAGTATAATAAATAATAATAATAAAATTTATTAAATTTATAAGCAATATTATAATCATGTGAACATAAATGTACTCAACAAAAAATAAACAATACGGCATGAATACTCCGTCTGGCGGAAGGTGGTGGGAATGTAATAGTAATAGTAATAATAATAATTCACTGGTTTTCATGGTCCGCTTGACCAATTAATATCTTTCAATTAATTAAGGTTTTTAGTTGACATAAAAAAATCAGTGTCATGAGCGGGAGTCGAACCCACGCCCTTCGGCTCAATGCACCACTGCTCTAACCGCTTGAGCTGTCGTGGGTTCGAATCCCGCTCGTGACTCTGACTTTTTTATGTCAACTAAAAACCTACATTAATTGAAAGATATTAATTGGTGAAGCGGACCACGAAAACTAATGAATTTAATAAGTTAAAATGAAGTATACTTCACTAAAGCTCTCCGTGGCCATTTTATTTGTCGCCGAGAATCAAATAGATTTCACGACATATGAAAAAATGGCAAAAAGGAGGGAAAATTCAAAAGGTGGGGCTAAGATGGGAAGTTAGTGTCCGAGTGGATCGAAGTCACGATAGCTCAAGAGGTAGAGTAGCGGCGTATCTAGCCGAAGATCGTTGGTTCGAATCCCGCTCGTGACACTGAATTTTTTTTATCTCAACTAAAAACCTTGATTAAATGATAGTTATAAAGAAGCTTTACAGAAAAACCAAAGAAGAGAAGAGAATCTATTCAAAGATTTATTTACAAAATCCAATAAATACAATAGATTTTGATATTACAAGATAGATGGGGCTAAGATGGGAAGTTAGTGTCCGAGTGGATCGAAGTCACGATAGCTCAAGAGGTAGAGTAGCGGCGTATTTAGCCGAAGGTTGTGGGTTCGAATCTCGCTCATGACTCTGACTTTTTCATCTCCTACAAGATCTTACATAAAAAGAATATTATATAATGTTCATTTCCCGCAAGTTTTATTCGAGTGCACTGCCAGTCCACTTCATTCAGCAGATACAAGATTTGATCTCTTTGCATCCAGCACAGGGAATTGGAAAGAGAGATGATCCACGTCCTGACCTGCAAACGCACGCCGGCGATGTTATCACTCCAAATCATTGCAGATATTTCATGTCGGGCCATTGTTATGTGGGCCCAAATGTTTCATGTGGTTTTTGTACTTGGGATGTGTAACGGACGATATGTCCAGTGTAGGACAAAGCATCCGCTCGGGCGAATTCTTCTCGACTTAAAACCATGCTCTTAAGAAAAACGATTTATTTTTACTCAAATTTATTGTTTCATCAAAGAAAACAATACAAAAATAAATAAATAAAAAATAAAAAACTCACTGGACATGTTGATTCTGAAACATATGGAATCAACTGATTTTCTTTATTGTTAATCTAGGGAGGTAAAAGGATTAGAAACACTTTATAAAGGTAAAAAACAAGTTATTAATGCTGGGTTTATGTTTTATGTCAACAATATATTAATCTTTACATCTAGTTATTATGACGAGGAAGGATGAATCGACCGTCAGGATACCACTAGTAAGTTCGAGAACAGGGATGCGTTCATCAAAACAAGTAAGTTTTGTAACTTATGCCAAGCTTCAACCTTTATTTAGGTCTTCATCAGGGCTCTACAAGTAATTACAACGTTTATAGTTAATGAATAATAAGTAACACAATAATTCTCAGATGACATATTTTACTTATAATATTGTGACGAGTAAGTTATTCATTGTTATCTGAGAATTATTGTGTTACTTATAATTTATTAATTATAAACGTTGAAATTACTTGTAGAGCCCTGATGAAGACCGATATAAATGTTGAAAGCTTGGCATGAGTTACATCCCTGATCTAGTTGTTATAAAAAAATAAATAAAAGAACACAAGTGTTCAGCTCTTTTTGCCTTTCAGCGTAAAAATAAGAGGCAAAATAATTCAGTTTCCTCTATCGTACACATAAAATAAATAAAAATTAAAGCGCTTTTAGAGCTTCCAGGCTGTAATTTTAGCGAGAACGATTGTGAGTAATGACAAATCAATAAGAGCGAGTTATTTGTTGATTTATTTGGAATGGAAATACTATAAACAAACTAAGAAAAAAGGGAAGTGGTGTTTAAACGAATGAGAAATGATTGTTTAAGAATTTCGCCTGGGTAATTTGCCCAAATTATCTGTTTTTTATTTATAGTATTGTCTAATTTTGTGTCACATTCATTCAATTTCACATCAGTCCAGATGCGATAGATAATCAGCGCTAATTCAGAATGACGAATATAAAACGTGTGTATTGTCGAAGATGTTTGCTGTATCGGCATGTGTATATGGGGCAAAAGAGAAATGTTCAATTCTATATTTTACGACTTCGATCGCGTGGGTGACTTGAGAAAGTCTCAAATCATGAATCAAGACTTCGCAGGTTTTCGGACTTCGGAGCCATCCGGGTTTTACGTCAATTTGAAAAATACTATTTACTTATCGACCTAACACATAGATTTGAACGTCATAAGGTCCGATTAACCAGGGCGAGGAGCTTGTTAAGAAGAAAGTTGTCCCCCTGACCCTCAGTTTTGGAGTTAAGACCTTTTTTGTCGCCGTTTAAGCAGCTCTTCGTTTGGCCCAAGTCGGTCAGAATGACAAAAAATGTATTGACAAAAAAAATCGGTGTTCATTTTTCTCAGCTTTCACTCCCGGAAGCGCCAAAAGTTCAGTGTTGATCCTGTTCAACCAAAAATTAAACAATGTCTTTTTAAAGTAATGTTCAAATAATGTTAGCCCAATTACAATCCGATGTCAAGTTAAGCTTAATTGTGGGAATTTAATTGAACACCCACAGCTTGATCGTATCTTATACTTGCTTAGGTTTGTTATTTTCTCAATCGTATCTTCCAAAAAGACATCCAAAAAATTCACTGAGGATGGCGAAAGGATAAAATGGCCCGACCACCAGGTCGGAAACCACCAAACTGCCTAAATTTATTTTCTATTATTATAGATTATTTTCACGTTATTATATATAACGGAAAGAGAAATGCAAAATTGAATAGAATAAAAGTATTTTTATAGGACGCATACCAATCAGCGAAACATCCTTGTGACTGGTATGGCACGGTGACCTACTGATGAAAATAAAACCTTGCATCCTGGAGATTACTACACAGCATCAAATCCCATCCAATAAAATCCCCCGTGGAAGGAACATTGTTCAAATTTTCCGTACCGTAAGCCATACGAAGACGGCACCTTGCACAAACAGCAGGACTGTCTGTTGGAACGGTGGGTATCAGGAAAAAGAAACCGATAACAAAAACACACACACACAACACTTACCAGAAGATGCGCTATTATCTTTCGCTCTCTCAGGCAAATACATTTTTAAAATATATGTTCATGTAGTTTACACTTTTATTTACAAATGTTATAAATAGCGCTAAAAATTAAAAAAGAGAATCTTGTTTAGACGTTATTTGTTAACCACTTTTCATAAAATTATATCTTCGTTTGTTCTAAATTAATTCGAACTCTTCAAACTAAACTATGAAAAAGCTAATACTTGATATATAAGATATATCACTCACTCACTCACTCACTCACTCACTCACTCACTCACTCACTCACTCACTCACTCACTCACTCACTCACTCACTCACTCACTCACTCNCACACACACACACACACACACACACACACACACACACACACACACACACACACACACACACACACGCACGCACGCACGCACGCACGCACACACACATACACACACGCTCTCTAAGGTGAATCGCGTAAAAAGTAAGAGAGTAACCTTAAGTCCTATTATGTACAGGTCAAAATACTCCAATCTCACTCTCTCTCTGTCTCTCTCTCTCTGTCTCTGTCTCTCTCCCTTTCCCTCTCCCCAAATAATGTTTCATCTGTTTTCTTTAAAATTCTCCCTTCTAGAATTGTTTTCCCAGTTCGGAATACTGCAATGTTCAAATTAGAGAAAGAGAGCACAGTATAGGCATAGTAGATATCGAGGAAGGGAGAGAGAAAGAGAGAAGGGAAGAGAGGGAAACCGGAGAGTAAATGTGGGAGAGAGGAAGATTGAGAGACAAACTGTGAAAAATGTCTGTAATTTTTGAAGAATATTGGTGGTATATTTATATATAAGGGATTTTCTTTCCTAAATGAAAATATCTTTTAATGAATGTTAACGAGGGTCATTCATTTTATTTGCAGCTGTTTCGATTCGGAGATATATTTATCATAGAAATCGCAATAATGTACCCGTTTTTTCGGGCAAATTACTTCCAAGCTGAACAAATGGACATGTTTTAAGTCCCCAATTTCGAATATATTCGAAGAGGCACAGGTTCGAAGGATTTGCTCCACATCTACTCCCCGTTTTGGTCTGTCTTCCAAAAAATAGGAAAAAAAAAAAAGAAATCTGAGAAAGTTAAAACATTTTAACCACACGACTAATTACTAAAATATGAATTCCAAAAGCAATGTTTGAATAATATTATCTTACGAGTTGACTTTGATTTTAGGCAGTGGCCGAAATAGCAGGCATGCCGACGAAATGTAAGAGGCTCCACCTTGCGAGTTCGTTGCGAGTTAAATATCTTTATCTACCTACAGCCTTTGACACAATTGAACTATATGTTCGACCAATTAGTGTTTTTTCTTGATCTATGGCGCATTCTAGACCTCACACACTCTTAATCATACACTCCCTGTCTCTCCTTTTATCTTTATTTGTATAGATTGTAGACATACTGTTTATATCACTTTTTCTGCATAGTTAGCGATATGATCTGATATGTAAGATTATTTGGCTTAAGTGTACAATAAATGAAGGGGGTGTATTTCTTTCTCTCTCTCTCTTCCTCGTTCTCCATTTTTGTTCAAAATACACAATACCTACCTTAATAGAAATGGTACTACTTACCTAATACTATATAGTACTACTTACTTAATACGTACCTTTTTCTTTAACCTCTCAATCCTCTCAAGATTCTTCTCCCTCTCTCACTCACTCACTCACTCTCTCTCNCTTTCTCTAGCTATCTTCTACCTATCTCCATCAACCTAGCTATATTTGTTTACACATTTATCTTTATAACACTTTCTCTACAAATTCTGTTCTCTTTCTCTATCTATCTATATCACACTATGTCTCTTTCTCTTTCTAGTGTTTTCCTTCTCCTTCATTTGTCTATCTATCTTTCTCTCTCACCTTGGGTTATCTACATTTCGATCTATCTATTAATCTAGAGATATTCTGTCTATCTTTTTTTATATACTTATATCTATACATCTATCTTTATCTATCTATCTCTCTTTTCTCTCTCTCTTTCTGTCTCTCTCGCCCTTTATCTCTATCTATCACTATATCTCTCTTCCTTCTCTTCTTTAATTTCTGCTACCTACTCATAGTCTAAGACTCTCAATCTACACGTACATCTCTTCATTCACACATTACCTCTCATTCTTTTAACATGTGTACATTTATCACTCTCATCCATCACTCTATCCTTCTAATATTACTCTCTCCTCTCTCATTTTCTTTCTCTCTCTCTCTCTCTCTCTCTCTCTCTCTCTATATATATATATATATTTTTTTTTTCTATCAATCTCTTTCTGTTTTTTTTTTTTGCTTTCTCTCTCTCGCTCTCACTTTTTCTTCGACCTTGTCTCAATGGTTGTAATCCAATAATTATCATTAATGATCATCTTGGTGTAACATATTTTTTTACATAAATCAGCGTTTTAAGTGATAACTAATAAATATTGATCAGAATGCAATGGAAACTTTGCCGTTTTGTTCCATTAGCCTCTCGATCAATACCGTTAATTTTAAGTTTTCATTAATAATTGAACGATGTGCAATCGTGATTGTTGGACGTGGTCATGTAGAAATCAGCCCCGATCGATGTCTATAATGATACCATCTCTTATTAACGAAACATTGAATTTATCCAATTTATTTTTGACAAGTTGATCGAATTTCTTTTCCTTTTTTTAAAGGTTCAATTGGCGTTTGGTTAGACGTGTGCGTCATTAAACAACCGTCAAAATTAATTAAATCTGCAGAACAGCCCGAGAATTTTTTGATCGATGGACCTTAACTCCCAAATGCTTAAACAATTTTTAAACAGCAGAACTTTAAACTGTAACTTAGGCATGTCTATTACAGTTTACAAATTTTGTACTGTCAATTATTATTGCATTGGTGGTTTCTCACTATAGAGTAGCAGTATAACATAAGATAGGAGAACTTACGCGCTCGAATATAAAGTCTAGCTTAGCGTTTAACATAACATTTAAAATTAGTTTAGTATAGATTTTTTATCCCCATTGAACAAAGTTTCAAAGCAAACAACTTCGGATATACCTTGAAAGAAAAAGCGACATATAACAGAATATTTGAGAAGCATAAAGCTTTTAAGAACTGTAAGCTTCAAAGAATCGATCCACTGATAAAAGAGTTTGTTTACCGTAGATAATTTTTATCAGGGGGTATTAATAAAATCGTTCAAGTTTCGCATTTCTTTCTTCATGCTCGAATATCGGACAATTTCCGATAGTTTTAGATTGAGACCTTCAATTTATTCGATGCCCTATAAATCCAATCTCGAAAACTTACGTCCTTCAAGAAGAAATTTGCAGCTTGAGGACAAATCTGTCGACTGTGGCAAAATAAAGTACTCATTTTATTGTATTGTTTAAGTTTTGTAACTTTTTATACAATCTTAATAATCTCAACCCCACCTGAAAAATGGCAAAAAGGAGGGAAAATTCAAAAGGTGGGGCCGAGATGGGAAGTTAGTGTCCGAGTGGATCGAAGTCACGATAGCTCAAGTGGTAGAGTAGCGGCGTCGGTAGACTAGCCGAAGTTCGTAGGTTCGAATCCGTCTCCTGACACTGACTTTTTTATCTCAACTAAAAACCTTAATTAATTGAAAGATATTACTTGGTCAAGCGGACCACGAAAACTAGTGAATTTTAGAATAAAGTTACACATTTAAATCCATACCTACGTAAATTGCACTCATTATGATAAGTAGCATGATTACTCGATATCCCTTTATCGACGACATATGGTTAACATTAATAATCTAATTTAAATTAGGATCGATGAGGTACTTTTATAAATATTTCGACATCGCCCCTAAACACACATAGTGTATAATAAAATCTATAATAAAATACATTACAAAACCGCCACGTCTTCCAAAAATCGGAACAGGGGACCCAGAACCATTCTTAAATCCAGCGGTATGCCTACACGCTTCTTTAAAGGAGCTAAGGGATACGGCTAGGATATTGAAGTGGTGGCCATAAGGCGTTCTGCACCTCGACCTGAGTAGATTTACTATGGTCTTCTATTTTTTTGTAACTCATCGGCCAGCTTCAGGTTGTTAATCAACAGTAGACTTACCAGGGGCTTTTTTAGTGTAGGATCTTACTTGCGGCTTTTCCTCTCCTAGTTGCAAGAATCTGGATTCTACAAAGACCTTCACAAAAACATAATATTTACTTTGCGGTCTCTTCCTCTTCTTCTCTGCTCAGTTTTTCTTCTGTCTGTACTCCTACCCGGTACATGTGCCTTCTTAAGGAGCCAAGACATGACGAACTTCTATTACATTGCAGCAACCTTTCTCTGCTCTTTATCTCTTATACAAAAATTTTTCTACCTATAAATTTTGATTGTATTTTTTATGTATTTGTATCTATTTAATTTTTTTATGTTTATTTATTATGTTGGTGTATTTGGGTTTTTAATGATTTCTTTTCCTATTTATTTACTTTTTTTCCTTTTACTAAAACGATGGCTTACATTATACAACAGTTACCTACGTTAAGAGATAAAGGTGAAACAGAATCTCCCTAGAATCAACGTTTAAACTTTCAATTTAAATACATACAAATTTGGTATCTTTTCACTATTTTGTAAATATAAATTATTAATTTGTTGTAGATAGATAGATATACTTTATTTACAAAATGAAAGTAATTGAGAGTTAAAAATAAAAAACAGTATTATTATGGCATGGTATTAAGACCGTCAGCCAGCATTAATTTTTTGCATTTGTAAGGAGTGGTCAAGAATGAAGTAATTTAGAAAAACACATTTTTCAATTTTTCCGATGTTTCGACCTTTATTCGGGTCATCTTCAGCATACGGTACAAAATTTTGTACCCAATTTTCTTCTACCTATAAATTTTGATTGTATTTTTTATGTATTTGTATTTATTTAATTTTTTTATGTTTATTTATCATGTTGTTGTATTTGGGTTTTTAATGATTTCTTTCCCTATTTATTTACTTTTTTTCGTTTACTAAAACCATGTCGTACATTATACAACAG